TCCAAAACCTTTCCCATCACCTTGTTTGAAATCTCAACTTCATGTTATTCCCTGTTTGTTCTTCTAGATATTTATTATTTATCTCTCTCTCTCTGTCTCTCTCTGTCTCTCTCTCTCTCTCTCTCTCTCTCACACACACACACACACACACACCCCTTGTTTCTATTGTCTCTTTAGGAGAATGTAAGTACCACAGGGGCAGGAGTTCAGTCTGCTTTAGTGCCTACAGCAGCCTGCAGCTCGGCAGTGTCTGGTACATGGCAGGTGTTCAGTTGCATCTATCACACTCTACCTGGAACCCAGGAGGACGAATTGATGTAAAATGAATGGGTGAAAGAAGGAATGAATGAGGCGGTGTCTACCAACTGGCTCCCTCTAAAAGACATTTTACTTTCAGGATCCTCTTCTCTCTGGTGACCTCTCCGGATGTTCAAGACCACACGTCTGTCCTCTGATGCCTGTAAACCTCAGATCAGACTCTCCAACCGTGGTCAGAGCAGTCTGTGGCTACGAGCCAGGCCACTGCAAGCCCGAGTTCTACCTTTTGCTAACCAGGGGCACTGACATTGGAAAGCCCCTCTCTGCAGCGTGAGGCTGCCAGCACAGTCTACCTGGTAATAGCTTGCAGTGGACCAGTGAAGGCTCTGCTCCCGGAGCCTGACCTACAGGGTCAAGCCTGCAAGTTCACAGTCCACTGCCCAGCACTTCCCAGATGCCTGAAAAACAGAAAAGTAAGCCCTGGGATGTAGCACTTGCCTAACACGCACAAGGCCCTGGGTTTGACTCCCAGGATTCCCCCGTCTACCTGTCCCCTCCCCACATGAGCAGTACTGGGGGATGACACAGAGAGGAAGATGCCCAGTGGCTGTGCTCGAAGCTTTCTGTCCAGTTACCCAGATCTGTCTTCTTCTCCAGCTTCAGCATCAATCATCACGCTTCTCTCACGTGATAGGTGGGGGTGGTGAAGGGTGTCGATGGCAGTCAGTATCATTCACTCTACGTCTATCCCCTGACCCCTGACCATACCTAGATTCAAGCCATCCTGTGGTCTCTCTGCTTGAAAACCTCTGAGTAAACCTCAGCCTTCGCTCTGCGCTACTCTGTCTTCACACTAGAATCAACCAAGCCCTGCCTCCACACGGGCAGTGACTCCTCAGGCCATGTTGCATCCCTTTCCTGACTATCTCTCACAGATATGGACCAAATCAATTTTCTTGGCACTTCCTTCCTTCTGGGCCAGGCTTTTATCAGATTTTACCGCAGGTCAGTTTCACCTGCCTGCCAGGGCTTCCCAAACCAACAACAGTCTAACCCTCTCAGTACTCACACAAAGGCTTGCCATTTCTTTCATCTCCCTCTGTCTTCCAAATCACCCCCAGACAGTGGTGGGATGCAACCTCCCCGCTCTGAAGATGAAGCAACAAAGGCTGAGAGATGCTGAGATCAGGAACAGTTATCCCAGCCCATTCCCCTTCCCAACTCAGTAATTGGCACCTCCAACCACCAAGATGATGCCTGAAATAAGCAACGCTCATCCCCACCATCCTTCACCTTGCCCTTTCTTCCACAGACAAGGAGTTCCCAACCTTGTAGGTAGCACTGACCCACTTCCCAGGAAGCTCACCTTCTCCAAGCAATCTACTTGTTACATTGGAGTTGAGCCCTGCCCCCAAGAAGACCAGTACGCTCATCAATATGGCCCCGCCCCTTCTGTGCATTGCATCTCCTCTGTTGGTGTATGCATTCAACCCACTCATTCAACAAATAGTTATCGAGGGGTTACTGTGTGCCAGGCACTGCCCTGGATAGAAGGCAGCAAAATGTAAAAGGCAGTGTAACAATGAAACAAATGAAACCATTGTCCTCATGCAGCTTGCACTCTGATGAGTGGTGAGGGACCGGTGGGAAGGAATCAAGTAAAATTGCAGTGTTCCATAGTGGTAAGTGCCGTGGAAACAGAGGGAAGGAGGAAATTGGGAAGGAGGTTGGCTTGTTACACAAGGAAGGCCTCCTCGCTGAGCCAATGCCTGAAGAGGGGAAGGGAAGCCTAGTGTTCACAGCTGTAGCTGGACCAGGCAGATAGAACATCGAGTGCAAATTTCAAGGAAGGACTCAGAGACCAGGAAAGCTAGACAATGGGAGAGGAGGGAGTAGGGCAATAGTGACACAGGCCTGTAATCCTAGTACTTGGATGGCTGAGGTGGGAATTACCATCTAGTTCTAGGCCAGCTCAAATTACACAGTCCTAAGCCAGCCGGAGCTACAGAATAAGGCCCAAAATCAAGAGCGGAGCCAGTGAGACATATCAGCAGCTTAAGACAGTTGCCCCCAAGACTGAGCCTGATCAGGGCTGAATCACAGGGTTAGAGGAGAGAACCAATTCCGCCAAAACTGTCCTCTGACCTCTACACGTATGCCACGGAGTGCTCACATGAGCTCACTGAATAAATAAATAGTTGTGAAATTTTTAAAAGAGGGTAGGGGTGAGACTTGGCAATGGGCCTCACCTCACAGTGTCTGCCAATCATCATGAAAACTTTGGCTTCGTCCCTGAGTGAGCGTTAAGGTCACTGGACAGCAGTGACACAATCTACCTTCAGTGCAGAGATTAGACGGCAGGAGAGACGAGCCAGGAAGCCATTGTAGCAATGCAGAAGAGAAGACGGTGACAGCATGGGCCAGGGTGCTGACTGAGAAAGTGGCAGGAAACGGTCAGATGCTCCATGAGTTATGACAGGAGCGCTGACAATGCCGAGCTGTGTGTTGGGTCTAAAATGAGGAACCAGAAACGACATCAAGGGTGACGCGAGTTTGATGGCTCCCTATTCTCTGCTGCGCTTAGGTTGGTCCAGACCCTTTGCCAAGGATTATAAGGTACCTCGTGATCTCTCACCCAGCCTGTGATCTGAGCTTTGAATGCTCTCACATTCATTCTCCACAAAATCCAATGAAAGCAGAGTTGCAATTAGGCTTTTATTATTAATATACCCATTTAACAGGAAAGGAAAGTAAGGTACGGAGAGGCTAAATAACTTAATCTGATCAAAAAGACAGAAAATAGGAAACTCAGCATTTGAAACCATTACTGGTTTTTTTTTTTTTGTTTTTTTTTTTTGTTTTTTTTTTTGTTTTTTTTCTTTTCTTTCTTGTGTTAGGGGCTGGAGTTTGAGACTTAACAGCTCTTGAGCTTGCTATGTAGACCAGACTGGCTTCAAACTCAGAGGTCTGCCTGCCTCTGCCTTCCATGTACCCGCACATCCGCCTCCAAGTTTACTGTCTTTGTAAACTCCACAGGAGACTGACATAGTCCCACAATCAGCCATGACTTCACTTTCTTAACATCAACGTCCTCTAGAAGGCAAATGCCCAGACACGCCTCATCTTTGCCTGATGAAATCGCATTCTAAGAAGCCCGGTGGAGTGTGTGTTGGGGGGGTGGGGTGCCCTTTTCTGTGCTCTGAAATTGCCCTTCCTGCTCTATCTCGGCCCTTAGGGCGCGGCAGGTTACACATGGAGCGCAGAGACCATTTCCGCTCTCAGAGCTGAATCCAGAGCAGAGAACAGAGCCTGCTACTCAGGCCCTGGAAATGACCTGGACTGATGAACCCAGCAGGGCCTCAGACATTCCACTTCTTAAGGCAAGCTCACCCCTCTGTTAGCAGTCTCAGGAGAGTGTGCCGTCACCCCTGTTCCCGACATCTGTAGAGATTTACAGCCGCTTTCCCTGAGCGCTTACTTTGCAGTTAATTGCACTTTAACACCCGAACATCCACGGCATGAATATGACGATCTCCATTTTACAGGTAAGAAAACTGAGGCTTTTCTCGAGTTCAGCAGGTTCCTAGTCAGAATGCACTTGTGGATTGCTAATCGCTGGCTGAAGAATCGAACTTGACACAGGCAAAGCCAGGCACAGAACCCACCAGTCAACAAGTGAGCAACCGCTGCAGTCCTGCGTGCAGGCGGGAGAGAAAGGGCTCCCCTCCTCCCGCCTCGGCCCTCTCTCCTCATTCATCTCCCCTTCACACCCTTAATAAAAGCCCGGAGATTGACCGATGGAGGGGGCTGATTTCCCCTGGAGAGAAGCATCCTTTACACAAGAACATTCAAACAGGATCAGAATTCGTCCGCGAGGCACAGGCTTCAGAAGACAGCTGGGGACGGAGAGTTGTTGGGAGAAGGAGGTGCAAAGAGATGGGGAACCATCTTTTATTTATTTATTTCCCTTTAGGAGCCTTCACCTTTCATTAAAACAGCCTCCGGATGTAGGCGCAATCAAACATTCATTAGACAAGCAAGGTACACTTAAGAAAAAGCTTAACAACGCCCAGCGCGCGCGCACATCCACACATGCAGCCATAATCAGTCTGCGAAATGAAAACAGTCCTTCAGGCGAGAAAAACACACCGTGTCCCTCCGCACCCCGCTCCCCAGGTCCCCGGCCCTCCCACGATCCCGCACCTGCGCGGGGGCGGGGCCCGCGCCCCATTCCCCCGGCTTTGGGACCGGACGAAAGGAAAAGGGGTCCCTCCCAGCCAGGCTGCTGAGCCTCGGCAGGGTCTTCCACGGTCTGAAGCTCACAGAGTTCGTGCATCTATCCCCCAAACCCAGGCTCGGAGGATGAGCTCATCCCTCGCCCAACACAACCCTCTGCTTAGGACGGTGGGTCTGGGGAGCGAGCGAGCGTCCCGCAACGTTGGTTCCCTGTCTTGTCAATCAGGAAGGGCTTCCCGGAGGAGGGGATGGCGGCGGAGCTGGGAGTGGGGGTAAGGAAGCGGCTTGACAGATGGGGAGTGGGAGGCTCTTCCCAGCATATGGGTCTGCGTGGGTGGAAGGAGTCTGGGCTGGGTGGGGGATGGAGGGGCACTGTGCTGTGGAGACAGTCCTTGGAGCGGGGACGCGGGCTGGAGTGGGGGTGGGCGTGTGAACCGGACGGAGGGGAAAAGAGGTAACCCCCAAAGGTGGAGGCGGGGAGTGGGGGCGGCCGCGGCCGAACTCACCCTGGAGCCTGCGAAGACGCCGGGTGCCCAGCGCCTTGCACAAGGGCGCCCCCTGATGTCAACTCAGGAGTCAGACACGGTTTCTATTTTCTGAGGGGGGGGGGGAATCAGTTTAGCGAAATCCTTTTTTATTTTAATTTATTTATTTATTTATTTGAGACAGGGTCTCATGTAGCCCAGGCTGGTCTCGAATTCGCTATCTTGCAAGGGATAACCGTGAGCTTCTTCTGATCTTGCCTCCACCAGCCCCATGCTGGAGTTACTGGAGTAACTCCATACCTAGTTTAAATTTCACCAGATACAAGGCCCCTGTGGACTGAGATCGCCCTTCAAGGGGCAGCCCAGCCCATTTTACAGCTCAGAGGATTGAGGCCAGTGAGGTCATTGAGGCTGATCTGAAGGAGGCAGGAATCTAATCCGTGTATTCGTTCTCCCAACATGTAAACCTCTCTTGCACGCAGGAGATGCGATGCAGGATACGAATGAACAGGCCCTTGGCTTCCTCGGGTTTATAGTCTAGGTGAGGAGACCTAGACTATAAGAAGACAAATGAGCAAAATAATGTCCCGCTGAGGAGTAAATGAGCCTGCGTGTGGCGCTGAGGTAGAGACTGTGCTTCCTTAGCCTGCCTCCCCCTCACGACTCCCTAGAGGACCAGGATGTGTCAACCTTGGCTTCAAGGCAGCCTACAAAGGAAGGTGGCTCTGGGGGTGGAATTAAGCTAGAGGGGAGCAGATCCCCCCCCTCAGGCCAGAGCAGTCCCATCCCTAGTGGCACCCCCTCGTTCTACCATTAACAGCCTCCAGCTCTCCCACTGTGGCCACGCTGCTGAATTATTTCCTCATCCCAACTCGATGAGGTTTTAATCTGTCTTTATACAGCAGCTGGGCTGCCTGTGCTGGGGTTATTACTGAGTTTTCTGTACACTGATCCTGCCTCTCCTGGCAGCTCTAACTTAGAGAGGTTCTGAGATGGAGTTGGGAGGGGTTCCCACTCTGGAAAAATTTATGGGAACACCAAGGCTTGATGTGGGCAGAAGCCTGGAGCATTCGGCAACATAAGCCAGGATTCCAGCCCTGCCTTTGAGGCTGGGCTCCAGTCAAAGAGCAAGATTTGGGTGTGAAGGGACCAAGTCTGTAGTCTACAATTTGAGCTCAGAAGAACAGGGCTGTGCTCTCTCTCAGAACCAGGTCACTGTTTGGGCAGCTTTGTAGCTCCAAGCAGAGAGATGAAAGGAGGAGGGAGAGCCAAAACCAGCACAGTAGGCAGCCAACACCTGTAATCCCAGCACTCTGCCTGCCGGCCAGAAGCAGGAGGATCAGTGCAAGTGTGAGGCCAGCCTGGTCTACATAAGGAGTTCCAGGCCAGCCAGGGCTAGCTACATAATAAGTCCTGTCTCAAAGAACTAAAAAACAAAAACAAACAAAAAAAAAAAAGGGTGGGGTCCATGGTTTACAGTCTAGACACCCAAGGGCCACTTGGTCCCTGTCACTTATGAACTGGGAGTGGCTGCTACATCTACTCAGTGAGTTGGTCTCTGCACAGCACTTCACAGTATAGACAATAACATCAAGCTCAAATGTCTGTGGTACGGGAGGAGAAGGCCTGGGCTCCAGTCCCTGGAGACCGTTTATGAAACTTAGGGGGACAGAGGTGCCAGGCCCACGGGAAGGACTATTACTGTTGAGTCACCATCGGCTCATAGATGCTAATAAAGGTGTGAGCAGGCACCAGGCAGACACACACACCTAGCTGCTCCCACATTTGGTCAGTGACAGACGCACTCAGTCTCTGACAGCTGTTCAGGCTTGCCATGAGTTACCCTCTCCGCCTTCAGCCCCGCCTGAGGGTGGAGAATGTGTGGGACTCAGGTTTCCACTTGCTGGATCTTTTTTTATGGTGGTAGTGGACACATGGGCCTGGCCTCTCAAATGTGTAAATCTCTGCCTGACTTTTCTTTCTGGGCCGAGCTGTAAAACCTTTACATACCTAGGGCTCTCTACCCATGCCACCTTGCCCTCTCTTGCCTCTCTGTCTTTTGTGTCTGCAATTCATTCGTCAGGGGGCGATTTCACTTCTGAACTCTAACCTTTTGAGGAGAAGGGCTTTGTCTACTGAGTCATCGATAGTAGACGGTCAATACGTATTTATGAAATCGAGTTGTCTCCACCCCACAACAGTTGACTGTTGTGGTGCCCCAAGATGTGTTAAGTTTAAATTAATTAAAAGTAAATAATCAAAAATTTTTTTTTCTCGGAAGCTGGGTGTGGTGGCACATGCCTGTAATTCCAGGGCTCAGGGAGGCAGAGGCAGGCAGATCTCTGTGAGTTGGAGGCCAGCCTGGTCTACAAAAGGAATCTAGGACAGCCAAGGCTACACAGAGAAACCTTGTCTCGGAAAAATCAATCCCGCCCCCTCCCCCCAAAAAAAGGAACAAATAAAATGTTCTCATTAGTATATATTAATTATACATAATGATGCTTTTCATTATAATATTTTCATGTATGTCCTTAACATAGTCTGATCGTGTTCACAGCACACACATTACCTTTTCTTGTCCCTTCCAACCTAGGTGATCTTCATCCGTTTCTTACCTAGACCCTCTTCTACTTTCATGACTCTTCCTTTTATTCTTCTTTTTGGATCCACTGAGTCTCATGAGGGTTGCTTACAGAAGATGGGTGACTATCTGTTTTTTGAGCTGTGGTCTTGCTATGTAGTCAGGGCTGGCCTGGAATTTACAGAGATACTCTTGCCTCAGCCTCCCAAGTGTGGGGATTACAGGTATATGCTACCAGCTAGGAATATTTTGAGTTAAATAAACAGATGGCAGCATTTGAGACCCACATCTCCTGTTTACTTCTGGAGAAAGCCTTCTAATGCCTCAGGTCTCTCTCCCTCAGCCCCCATCCCTACCTTCATCCTCAGCTTCATCAGCTCCATCTTCCATCCATTCGAAAGCCAGGCACCAGGTCCCCTCTGCTCCTTTGCCTTCTGCAAAAAGCCCTGAGCCACTGCCAGCCCTGTTCTGACTTCCTAGGGACTTCCTGGCCTCCTTCCATTTCCAAAATGCACATCTCTGAGTCTCCAGTCTCTGTGAGGCCAGCCACCTCTTTCCCCACCACCCAGCTGGATCTAGCAAATGCCGAGTCATCTCCAGCTAGTGCCTGTCTCCAGCTCCTCCATCCAGAGGAGGAGCTGCCAGGATCGAACCCAGAAGAGAAGCCCCACTGCTGGAAGCATCTGAAGCATGGTACACCTGGAGCCAAGGGTGTCCATCCGCCTGCTCTCCTGCGCTCTCAACCACGGCACCAGTAGTTGCAGGTCCACACCTGGAGAGCAAGCCTGGGCTAAAAGGACCCGTGCTGCCCAGTGTCAGCACCTCCCATGCCCATCCCCCCTAGAAGCATGCTGGCAACCCAGCCTCAGTTTCTGCCTGGGGCCCTTCCTACTAAGGAGCTGCCAAGGGCACATTTGCAGGGCTGCGTCACAGCTGCAGTGCCTGTGAACGCTAATAATTAAGCCCCTACAAACCGCCTGCAGATAACCGTAATCCCTTGTATTTATACAGCCCTGAGCACATTTGGAAGCTTCTTCATATATATTATCTTGTGTGATCTCCCACAATAATCCTATTGGGTAGTTCTGGGAAGGGAATTACTGTCCTTATTTTTGAAGAGGAGAAAACCAAGACTCGGGGAGGAAAGACTCATCTGAGGTCACGCAGCCTGTGGGGCCAGAGCTTGCACCGGGACACAGGTTCCTGGCAGTCCAGGGCTGTCACTGTCCACCATGCCCAAGATTCTGAAGCCTATTCGCGATGAGGCGCGGAGAGCACAATCCCTCCTGGTTCTGCCGCCTATTCCCGTCTCATCACAGCAATAAATAGGTATTGAGCACATTTATGCAACTCAAATTATTAAATTTAACACAGTCCTATGACGTAAGCAATATTATTAGCCCCCATGATACAGAGAAGTGAAGTAACTTGCCTGGACTCACTCAGGCTATTTGGATTCAGGACAAACTAAGGGTTTGTTTGTTTGAAAAAAACCAGATTTCAACTGCTAGCTGCTAGTCCCTCCCTAGCTTAACTGAGGCCATGACTTAAAACAAACCTCCAAACCTAGTGTCATGGGGCACTCTCCTTCTGTAGCTGTTTGCCACTCTCCTATCCAAGCGGGTTCCATAGTGATGGGAAGAGCGACTGCCTCTGACATAATCTGATTGGCCTGTTCTTTGATCACTTCCCCCTGAGGGGAGAGCAGCCCTACCAGGCCACAGAAGATGACAATGCAGCCACTCCTGATGGGATCTGATAGACTAAGATCAGAAGGAAGGAGAGGGGGACCTCCCCTATCAGTGGACTTGGGGAGGGGCAATCGAGAAAAAGGGGGAGGGAGGGTGGGGCTGGGAGGGGAGGAGGGAGGGGCTTATGGGGGGATACAAAGTGAATAAACTGTAATTAATAAAAAAATAAAAAAGAATACTAAGGAACCCAGCATGGTGGCACATGCCTTTAGTCCAGGCACTTGGCAGGCAGAGGCAGGAGGATCTCTGTGAGTTTGAGACTAGCTCAGTCTAAAAAGGGAGTTCCAGGACAGCCAGGGGTGCACACAGAGAAACCCTATGTGGGGGCTGTGGAGGTGGTGGCATAGAGGTGGCTGGAGATGGTTCGGTGGTTAAGAGCACTGGCTGCCCTTTCAAAGGACTCAGATTCAGTTCCCAGCATCCACATGGCTGCTCTATCTGTTCCAGGGGATGTGACACTTTCACACATACATACATACATACATACATACATACATACATACATATGAATATTAAGAACACTGTACCAGTGCACACCTTTATTTGTTTGTTTGTTTGTTTCGTTTTCTCAAGACAGGGTTTCTCTGCATAGCCTTGGCTGTCCTGTCCCAGCACTCGGGAGGCAGAGGCAGGCAGATCTCTGAGTTCAAGGCCAGCTTGGTCTACAGAGGGAGTTCCAGGACAGCCAGGGCTACACAGAGAAACCCTGTTTTGAAAAACAAAAACAAAACAGAAGCAAAAGA